GTTACTACCTACTTTTCATAGTGCCGGCTTCTTCCTCGTCCTCGTCGTCAGAGTTGATGACCATGGTGCCCAGTTGTGACTGCATGGTTCCCGTGTCCTCGTGTTCGATCATAGTCCGTGCCGTACCGCTGAGTGAACCAGCGGCCCGGATGGTTCCTGAGTCGTCTGCTCCTGCCCGCACCATCGTCCCCTGGTCCACCTCATCCTCATCCTGAAACACACCGAAGGTAAAAGCCTCATTAAACAGCACGCGAAGCAGCCAATACTGTGGTGATCCACGTCACAAACTCTTCTTTTATGCGCCTCTGCAGTCGTCACTGTGAATAAGATCTAATCTAATCTGGTTCAATAAAGGAAACAACAACATCAGACACATTAAATTTAGGTTTTCTCTCAAAAAGTCACTAAAACAAAAACTTTTACTTTATTTTACGCTATTAATTTGTAGTCTGAGCTATTTAGAGTCATTTCACTTATTATCTGGACTTTATATTTGGCTTGTTTTAGTATGAGGTCTCATAACTTGCTGTTGTACAGAGGTTGTTGTTACTCTGTTGAACTTTTAGGGGGGAGGCAGGACATTTTTCTTTAAGATCAAAGTACAGGAATAACACCTTCATCGTTCATCAGTTTTATTCCTATTTTATTATCATATTATGATTTTTCCTTTCAGTACCGAATTGTCTTCATCTTCTGCATCCTGCTCCCTCTGCTCGGCCTCCTCTTGCCTCTTCAGTTTGATCTCCATGGCGTCTGTGATCAGGGCTCTGAGGATGGAGTTGGGCTTGGCTGACTTGATGAATGGATGCTGACAGAGAGAGAGAGACAAAGAACGAGAGAGAAAGGTTAAATTCATTTTCTGTTTTTCTTACTAGCAAAACAACATACTGGCTGCAGACGCCTCATTAATTACTGCCTCTTAACTACAGTGAAGATCCAGTCTTAGGTAATGCTCCAGCTGAAACTGAATGTCTGTAAACATGTAAACCAAATTGAGATTAGTATGAGTATAATACGTGTGTGCTGATAAACACGCCGACTGCAGGATTTGTGTTTCATTTCAACGTATCTTTTCATTTTATGAGAACCTGTTTTCAGGGTTTCTAACCAAACTGGCTAACAAATTCTTCATCTACTATTAGTTCGAGTTCAGAAGAGTTACCTGTAACAGCTGCGTGGCAGTCGCCCTGTTTTCGGGATTTTTCACCAAACACTGGGTGACAAATTCCCGAAATGACGGAGACCACAGATCTGGGTTCCTGAATGTCGGTGGAGGGTTGGTGGGAATCATGAAGATGGCCTGGAAGAGGAAACATAATTCAGTTATTCACACGGACAGAAATACTCAACATACCTTCCTTCTTTCCCTACAGTATGTTCTCACTTTACCGCTCACCTTCAAACTCTAACACAAGCTCTTTCAGTCACACACACAGACACACTGTACAAACTCGCTCACCCTCATGGGATGTATGTCAGCGTAGGGCGGCTTCCCCTCCGCCATCTCTATAGCCGTTATTCCCAGAGACCAGATGTCGGCCACGCAGTTGTAACCAATCTCCTGTATGACTTCTGGGGCCATCCAGAACGGCGTGCCGATGACCGTGTTTCGCTTCGCCATGGTGTCCTGAGGAAGAGAGGGAGACAGAAAATGATGGAGGAGAGATAATTGAATCTGAGCTGAACATTATAGATACTTGTCTCACTGTGGAAAACCTCCTAACATATCTTAGAGTGAAAGAACACAAAGACAGAAAACATGTTTATAGTTCAAGAGCTGCTACTGAACTTCTAATAAAACCCATTATGAGCTATTTGGGTGTGATGTGTACACTGGTTCTTTTTAATAAAATCTGATTTACTGTCTCATCAGCATTCTTAAACTGTTTTCTTTTTATCTGATCTCAAAATATAACAGATATAATAGATATTTATTTTTAATTTGGGCTCACTGTGAGTTGTCCGGCAACTCCAAAGTCGGCCAGTTTGGCCTGGCCCTCCGCGTTCAGCAGGATGTTTCCTGCTTTGATGTCTCTGTGGATTTTTCTCATGAAGTGAAGATACTCCAGACCCTTCAGAGTGGATTGCAGGATGGTGGCTATCTCCTCTTCTGTTAGCTACAACACACACACACACACACACACACACACACACACAGATAATGAAATATACATCAACGTATCGTCAGTACATCAAAATACTTAACATCTGTTTGTCTTCTGTCTTCCTCTTTTTCCATGCAGACACAAAAACACACACCTGTGTGCAGTAACACTTACACTCAACTCAAACACTCAATATGTGTGTGTGTGTGTGTGTGTGTGTGTGTATTATATTACCGTCTTGTTGCGTAATCGGATGATATCGGACACCGATCCGGCTCCACAATATTCCATAACGATCCACAGGTCACTGTTTTTGAAGTAGCTGCCGTAGTAGCGCACTACATGGGGACTGAACACAGAGGTTAAACTCAGGAGGATGAGTGACGACGAAGACTGCAGTCACTTTTTATTCATTATAGTCAGTTCAAATTCAGTGTTTGTTTCTGTTGGTTAACTACAGAACATTTTCATCCACCCATTCAACGACAGTTTATCATTAAAGCAACAATAAGGCAACTCAAAGTGCTTCACATGAGACATGAAAGGTTTAAGAAGGAACAGCAGGCGATACAAAACCCCACAGTGCAAGATACGAATAAATGTGCTAAAGTATAACTTAAAGGCCCAGTGTGTAACATTTAGGAGGATCTATTGTCAGAAATGGAATATAATATCAATAGTTGTGTTTTCATGAGTGTATAATTACCTGAATATAGGAATCATTGTGTTTTTGCTACCACAGTCGCCATGTTTAACGAACATGTTTCTACTGTTTTTCTGAGCGATTTGTGGCGACCGTAACGATTAGATACCTTTAAATCCTACACACTGTTCCTTTAATAAAATCAAGTGGAAAAGAGATTTAAAAGTACGAGCTGGAGCTTCTCTTTTGGAGCTTGTTTCAGATATGTGTGGAGCTGATTCTCCATGTTCAGTTTAACTGAAGTGGTTTAAATTTATCTTCCAAATCAAGTGTTCATCTTTAGAAGAAGCCTCAGATTAACTTCAGATAAACCTTTTGTTGCACAGAAAGTCTTTGGATGTCCAGTGAGAACAGGACGAACAATTACAGCAAGTAAAACCTGTTTCAATTCACATATTCACATATTTAACGTATTACATCCGTCACTATCTGTTTTAGAATGGACCTAAACGTTTGTCTTTCATCCTTTGAGTTTGTGGACAACCGTTTTGAAGCCTGCAGTTGGCATTATGACTGTCATCTTGTTTTGACCATATTTTGACGAGAGCGTGGAGCTGGTGGGCGACGAGCTGAGCTGGTTTTGACATTTAGAAGCAGGAAAAACTGACAGTGTGGTCTTATATTACAGATAAACACTAAAATATGTTCCTGGAAACACTCGAGGAGAGAAACAGTCAACGCAGGAACAGGATCTGGATTCATGTTTGATCAGCACGGCCTGGTTTGACAGTTAAAAAGCATCCTCTGCTTTATGGTCTGTTTGACTCTAAATGGGAC